CTCCGTGCACCCAGCCTCTCTCTCTCTCTCTCGCGCGCGCGCGCGAGATCTGTCTGTTAAAAGTGCGATTTGCACCAAAAGCTCTCCGTGCCGAACCGCTGGCAAAATGCGCAAGACAAAACGCAGAGAAGAATATGAAAACGACACAAATTCAACAGTGCGTTTCGAATCCGACATTGCTCCTCGTGAAAAGTAGAGCTAAAAAAAAAAAACGACATGGAAACGCGTGGCTTCGAATCCGACATCGGCCCGCAATCCTATGGCACCTGAGCCTCCTCCCTCTCCACGCAACATGGCACTCCCACGTTCGTTGGAGCGCCGTGAACATTTCGTTATGAAAAACCATCTGCACACATCTCCACCGCAAACACTTCCCATCCTACCGTCTCCCTTTGTTTTTACGCCCGCTTTCGGCGCGCTTTGGACCATCGCCCTGCCCCCCACGGCCATATAGAATCACCCATCAACAGTTAGGAAAACATAACCATGGTGCCTCCTCTTCGTAGTCTGCAATGGTGTGTTCGGTGTGGGTTGTGATCTGCGGCGGCGTGTTAAATTGAGGAAACTGAATTGGAGGATTGTGTGTATTGGAAAAGGGGTGATGCCTCAGAACGACAGGTAGGAGAAAGAGGGAGGAGCAGCGGTTGCTCTGCCTGTTTGGAGCAGCTGATGGTTACTTTTCGATTTCTCTGATGGGTTTTCCTTTGGTGAGAAAACTCGAGAGTGGTGTCCATTTGAGGGGATGGTTCGGCGGTGGATCAACAGTGCTGTTGTTCTTGCTGTACCTGCGTGATGTCGGTGTTTTGTCCGTATATTCACGAGTTTCTTTGATATATTTTCACTTTCTTTTTAGCCGTGTGTTGTTTTTCCATGACGACTCTTAACATCTGGCAAGAGACTTTTATTCACTTTCTCCATCGTTGGTTGTTGTTTTCCCATTATGACTCTTCTTGCGAGATCGATCAGAATTGGGGGGAGGGGGGGGGAGGGGGAACAAAAAAAAAAAAAAAACATGCCAACGAGAGGTCTGACCCGGGACTTACCGCTCTTTTATTCGGCCAGTGAGGTTCCCGTGCTCATCCAAGACATCGAACATCTCGCCGCTCGTCTCATCTTTCGACATCTCCGGAGGCATCTCACTCTTTCCCATGTCGGTACGCTGGTGTGGCTGGTGTTTTCTACTGCCGCACAATGTCTTTCGCGCTTGCCAAAGCACCCAGGGGGTTGTTGTCCTTATCCTTCTCCCTGCACTTGTGTTGCAGAGTCGCCGACCAGCTTCCAGACCTTCCCTCTCCTGACTGAACACCACTGAGAGCATTGGGTCTCGCTACATCGGAGAGTTTTTCAGGGCTGCACTATCCAATTGGACCACCCGAAAACCCTGGTTCCTGTCAAAACCTAGCTTCCACAAGAACGGTTTTCGGATGGACCTCTGTCGGACTCTCCAAAATGCTCCCAATTTGGGGAGTGTGCCTCTAGTCTGGGCGGACAAATGCAAATCCCCCCCTGTCGTCTACCCCTGTCCCAGTGTCTACCCCGGTCCCAGTGTCTGCTATCTCCCTGTCTGTGCAAATACACTTAGGGCCTCGCTGTCTAAACTCAAAGAGTTTCGACAGGTGTCAGAAAAAAATCGAAAAGTCCGTGGTCGACAGTTTACCCCCCCTTCGCCACACCAGCTGTCGAGGGACAAGGTTTTTGGTCATGGCCAGGCGGATGGCGGAACAGTCCCAGACAACCCAATTTTCGAAAGGTAGGCGGGGCACTGTAGAATTTCCGTCACCTGCAGGCGGGAGGAAACGGTTGCTGGAGGGCGGCTGTAGAAAGTACCATTCTGACACCTGTCGACAGTTTTTTGAAAAGCAATTCTTCGAAAGTCTGTGTGGCGATGCAAAATTGTAGAAAACCGGGTTTTCGACAGCCGGTGTGGCGAGCCTCTTAGGGCTCGCCGCACCACTGTCGAAAATGCTATTTTCGGCAGTTCCTCTTCGCCACACAGGCTGTCGAAGTCGGAGACGAGAAGAAAAATTCCAAGTTGTCAGAGAATGCTTCTCGACACCTCCTGTCGAAAGTTGTTGATTCCCCAGCCTGCTACTCCGATGCTTTCGACACTCCTCGGCTGCGCCGTCGACGTCGCTTCGAAATTTGGTGAGTGGGTGTAAGGTCGGGATGGACTGATGCTTGTCGTACCCTCAGGAGCATTTCTTTTTCCATCCTTCTTCCACAAGTGCGTGCACTCTACAGTGCTGTGTGGGGAAAGGGGGGCAAAGTTTTTTTTTTTTTTTTTTTTTTTTTTTTTTTTTTTTTTTTTTCTGGCGAATGAAGGCTATCAATTTTTTTCTGACAGCCGTCAAATTTTTGTGCCTTTGGACAGTGGTGCGGCGAGGCCCTTACAAGGGTATCCACCTTGAGCCAAGGGTATCCACCTTGACCCATTGGTGTTATGGTTCTTCATCGTCAAGTACGGACCGGCCGGCAAGGTCCGGCCACACTCCGTGGACTGGTGCAGGGGTGGAGATGTCGTACCACCTCTGTGCTTGGTCGTCCTGGTGCCCGTCTGGTGCTTCAGCCCGGGCGTAGGTGGGGGATATTCCACGTGGCAGCTCAAGGAGACGGCACGTCGGCGTGACGGAATTAAGTGTGTAATCAAGGATGTGGCGCGGCTGATTGGGGAGCGGTTTTGACAGCACAATAAGACATAGTAACTGTGGAATTGATGACATCAACGGCCCCAACCGTGACGACATCCGAGATGCAGCTGGCGATGGAGACGGCACCCATGCAGGATGCTGTTGCTGTTGCCGTGTTTGAAGAAGAGGGGGCCGCGCTGGAGATGGTGCGGATGTATAGGCAACAGATTGAGGACATCTACGCGATGCTTATTCAACATCCGCACTTACCAGCGGACCTACTGGGGGAGGATGAGGAGCTGTTCAGTGGCTGGGAGGAGGAGCTCTGTGAAAATCTTCCTCTTCAACGGTTTGGGGCCATCGAGAAAGCACAGGTGATGGTGGAATTGGGGGCTTGTACTGAAGCATTGGGGGAGGTGGAGGGAATCCTCACCGAAATCCGGAAACGGCTGTGGGGCGCGGGGCCTGAGGAGGGGCAGGTGCTGCGTTCGTCGCCGGATGCTTTGAGCGAAGCAAACGATACTCCTATCTCGACTGCCTTCCTTACTGAGGAGGTGGTGATTTGCCGCGGGAAGCCTGAGGAGGGGCGGGGGACTGACGGCGAATTGGAGGAGTGCCTTGTAGCGGGCGACGAGGATTACAATTGGCTGGAGGAGGGGACTATTGCCATGTGTGAGAACCGTGACAACAACAACAACAACAACAACAACAACGATGTCAGCGGCTTCAATTTTGATGATATCGAAGATGGGCATATGCTGGATAACGGCAACAACAACGACAACAACAACAACAACAACAACAACAACAACAACAACAACRWCAACAACGGCAGTGCCTTCGACTTCGAGGATGGCGATGTTGGGAATTCGYTGTATGTGGCGCAGGGTTATGATGATCTTATGCGCAGCAACGCCATYGTTCGCAATGGTTACCATTGCAATGACCATGGTGACATTGAAAACACAGCGGGTGACAACACAGAGGACAAAGGCCACAATGATGGGCAGGCTCTCTCCCTCTTCTCTCGCCTCCTCTTTTCTCACCTTCCCCTCTCGGGTTCCTGGTCATTATTGTGGGGTCAGGAGCAAGAGGGCAGGGTGATAGGGATGTGTGTAGGACAGGGTGACGGCACGGGACTGGGGGGGAAGCTTTGGTGGCGGGAAGGGGTAGGATAGGTACGGCTCTTACCTCCCCGGTTAAAATGCGCCTACGAATCTTGAGAATGGGGGGGGGAGGTAGTTGAGGGCAATATGATTTAAATCTGTTCGCCAATTCGGGTGTCTGCCTTCGATGATGATCGACGCAGATCGGGCGAACTTGCAAGAAATAATGATTTGGTATGGCAGCATGGAGCAGATAGGTATGTGCTGCGCTCACGTTTCTGGAAACCCCTGCTCCGTGAATTATGCCATGTGTTGGTGTGGTCGGGTGTGTATCATTTCAGAACCGACACATGGCGCGCCRACATGATTGATACTATACTTACCTATGTGGATCTGCAGGCTGTCGACCACGTGTTCTGCTGATGCCATGTAGATTCTATAACCTCCTGTAATCTCTCGCTCCGATTGCCCCCTCCCGGCTATCAGTAGATCMTAAGGGTTTCGGAGGGAGAATTKTGTTTTCATAAAGATGAGTAGTAATCCTCATAGCTTGCGATGAGTTTGGCTTTTGCCACGTGGTTAGGCGACTCTGATCTGTTCCCTGGTTTGAGGGTTCCTCCCTCTCATGGTCTGTTTACAGGCGAAAGTTATTTAGTTGTGACGAGGGTCTTAAAACTGGGTGATGACGTGGCGACTGTGGGGGGGGGGAGGCGGTGGGTTGGGGCCATCCTGTGATTGGAAGTTGTTATCCTCATTTCATGGCTTTTTCCTCTCATGGTGCCATTAATTGAAATTCTAAAGCCCTACTCTGCTTACCTCTTCCCCTCATCGAGCTGTACGATTTACTTAGAAGAGACTGAGGGTTGCAATGTAGGGAGATGATTTTTTCAACCATGAAAGGCAGTCAATCCCCTCAGTTGAGGGTAATTAATGCTGCTAATGACATGAATGGAGCGTGCCATCGTGCTGGCTAGTTAAGTGTTAGGGATTACACTGCGATGGACATGTGGCATATAATAACGATTTGTGAATGTTTACAGGGACGCTGGACCCGTTTTCCAGCAGGTGATGCTCCCCACCAATAGATGGAGCCTCCCCCGAGCCTGCTAGTGGTGTCTGCTCTTATCAGCACCCCTAGCAAGCGCTTGGGCTGTTTCTTAAAAAAAAAAAAAAAAAAAAAAAAAAAAAAAAAAAAAAAAAAACACAAGGGTATCCACCTTGGGTTTTTGCAAATGACAGGAAAGGATTCTGATCTAAGACTGTTAAAGCGGGGACGCAGCCATTCGGGTAGCATGCTTTATGTTCGAGACAGTAAGCTTGGCAAAGGTCTTATGAAGTGGGGAACAGGCAGCCTTCTGGATGGTAGTGTCCAAAGCCAACACTCTCCCACACCTTGGATGGCACCAAGAGTACCACAGGAGGCCGTGGGGATTGAACCCACAGCCTCCTGAATGCCACTTGCGTGCCTAACCAATTGAGCTAGGAAGTTGGATGGAGCCCAGATTCTTTTATGGCAGGAGGGGAAAAAAAAAGAAAAAACTGAAAAACGAATAGCAAGCTACTGAGGGCTGTACCACCCCACACCCCGCCAGGAAAAAGGGCATTTCAAGCTCTAAACTACTAGCAGTGTATCTACCCATGTTCTACCAGAAGATTCATGCTCGTTTTGCACATTTGGTCAGTAGTGGAGCAAGGCCCTCTATCTCCACAGCTCTCGTGGCAAAGGTAAGTACGCTTTTTCTTCTTTTTTTTTTCCGAAAGTCAATACGTACATTCTTTTTTTCTTTTCTTTTTTTTAGTAAGCCCTGCCAACGAGGCAGGGCAGTCCGTTCTAGATTTCGTTACTTGGGTGTAGCAAACAGCAGAATGCTTAGATACTGCATTTCTGGGAAAATGCAGTAGAAGATAAAAAAAACAAAAGCGGAAACGACCCAGACCCAAATCGCCCGCCCCCAGTTTGCAAGGGGAAAAAACTATATCTCCCAAAAGGGAAACAATGGATGGCGCCCTATACTAAATTGCAACGACCTTGACAAACTAACCTGCCCTACGACCGGTCTTAGGGAAGATTGCAACCGGACCCTATTTGCTGCTGCTGGAGACCCCAAACGAACCCGTCCTAGCGCAGTTGTGCTGCACGACATTACCGAAAATAGAAAGAAATGAAACGACGAAACGAAGGAATAAGGACCATGATGAGCAGCCTCCGGATGGGGCTGCCATGGTAAGTTGGAGCTCGCTGCCTTAGGCTACGCTCCACTACTCTCCTGATGTAAAAAAAATGCGTACGAAAAATCAGAAAAGAAAACAAACGAACTAACAAAAAGACAACTCTCGATTTATACTGTAGGTCGTGGCCATGCTAATCTTCTCTGTATCGTTCCAGGATGTCCTGAAGGACTCAGCCTGTGGGACGCTGGCCCACCATTGACCTTGCGAACCACAGGCAATTCATAATGATTTCATTCTAGTCGTTTGACAGTATTTGGATTTGAACTCAAGTCTGTATTCCAATAGTTCATGGGTGTACCAGCCGAGCTAGGCCCTTTGGCACTAGGATCGGTTCCGGTATCGACACCGGGACCGATGTCAAGAACAAGGGATAAAAAGGAAAAGGAGGTCGGGTTTGAGGGAGAGAGAAGGTACTGCTGGCACGACCCCCTTGGTCCCACTGATCGGATTGTGGTTGGGACCGACAATAAAATCAAGGGGAATAGCCTCGTTGGGCCCTTAGCTCCTTGTCTCCTTTAACTGTTCCAGCATTCTCACAATGTTGCTTGTTGGTCTTAAACCCTGAATCTGCAAGGTGAAAGTTTGATGCCATAACCAGTAGTGCTAGGCCCAAGGCTCAGTTTAGAATTGGCGCACATGCATATAAACGGGTGTTGCGCGGCGCATGGGCCTATTGAAACACCCTAAGGCCACACCTCCGCCAGTTGGTCGCATCCACGCCCGCCATGCTCTTGCCTCTACCGTGAGGCTGCAGAAAACTCCTACTGATGGGCACACACAATAAAATGCCCCATTACGCCGTGGTCCACATGCTCCAAAGTTCCTTTAGGTAGAGACAAAATATGCATTTCTAAAACCTTGCGGCGTCAACGGTCAATCCCGGCGTCGGCCATAGGAATGGTGCCTCTGCATACGCGCACGCGCTGCAACCATATGCGTTAACCAGAGCAAAAGACCACTTACTCCTGACTTAATAAAACATAGAAAACTAGCCGACAAACGTACCGGATCGTATGCCGTAGCAACCCCTCTCCACCACAAACTTTTTGATCGCCTTCGTTGTGATAGGTGGATTATCCCAGTGCTACCCACCATCGTGGTAGTGTTCTTGATTTCAAAGGGGCTTGGCCATTTTAGTCGTTGTCTTTGTCTTGACAGCCGCGCATGTCGTAGAGGAGGTATCCTTCGTAGTCAGGATTCCGTACTCGGCGTGAATACCCTTACAAGGGTATTCACGCGTATTTTTGCACCTTGCACAAGTTGCACCCCATATGGTATAAATAATAGGCATTTACGTTACTATTGTGTAGCCCGCGGCCAACTCCCTATAATCGGACAATATTCCCCCCACCTATTTCTTTCTTTTCTCCCTCACTTTTCATTCCCCTTCCCCCCTACTTCGAAAATTTCTCTGTTTTTCTTCTTTCCACCTCTCTTTTGATTTATCTTTTCTCTTTTTTTCAAAAATTCAAAATATCTTCTTTCCCACCTTCTTTTCTCATTTTCTGATTTATTTAATTTATTTTTCTATTTATTATGAAAAATTCGATTTTCTCTACGGCAACCCTAAATCTGATTAGTTGTTAGTTTTCTCATCTTCTTCCCCACCCTCTTTTCTTATTTTTGATTTATTTTATTTATTTTTACTTATTCTGAAAATTCTTGGCGGCAACCCTAAATCTGATTAGGTGTTAGCCTTTCTTGCTTTCGACACACGTTTTGACCCCGTGAGGGTAACGAAGTGCTGCCGAAATTTTCTGATTTTCTCTTACTTAGTCTTTCGGCACACTTCGACCCAATGGGGGTAACGAAATGCTGCCAATTTTTTTTTTTAAATCAGATAACCCATTTCTCCCCACCTCCTCACACACTTATCTACTTATTTATTTATTTATTATTTCTTATTTATTTTCTGAAATTTCTTTTTATTTATTTATTTGCGGCATCTCTAGTGTGCACACCTCGGTCTCTCCTTTTCCCTTGGCACATTCTTGACCCCGTGGGGGTAGGGAAATGCTGCCGAAAATTTCAAAAAAAATAAATATTGTTTTTCTTCACATTTTTTACTTATTTTTTTAATTATTTTTATTATTTATTATTTATTTATT